GAATGCAGGATGTTATTTCAATTAATACTGCTTTCTAATAGTTCTGAACTACTATGAGACCTACTATAGGAGGGCTATGGAACAGAATTAGATACAAAACAATAGATCTTAAACAAAGAACTGTTCTGGAGACTGGAGAAGACTGATGCAGCTGCACTGGACACAAACAATGTTTTAGAACAAGCACAAATTATTTGTGTGGTCAATGGGACTGTTTTAAGATTCTTTGGTAACAGATACAGAAATTTCTGTGTTGAAAACACTCATGCAAAGCAGAAAGTCCTAATGGAAGTGAAAACAGGGAAGCTTCAGTTTTAACTAAGGATCTATAAAACAATATTTTTAAAAAACAGCATGCTTTTATTTCTATATATTAGTCATATAATCCAAACTACTGGTAAGTCCAGTGTTATCATTGGACCTGCAGTGCTAAACATTCTTATGCCCTAGTTCAGTGGTTCTCAACCTGTGGGTCGGGACCCCATTTGGGGTCGAACGACCATTTCACGGGGGTCGCCAAACAACGCAGTCCGCCATTTTTTTTCCTTTTCCTTAGAGTCTAATTCTATTGGCTTTCAAAAGCCAATAGGAATTGTCCAGGCTGTCCCTGCCCTGCTGAGCTCGCCAAAAGTCCCATTCTGCAAACAGTGCTGCACCAGTTGAGTAGTCCTCGACTTATGACCGGTTGAGTAGTCCTCGACTTACAACAGTTGGGGGGTCACGACATTAAAAAGGTTGAGAACCACTGCCCTAGTTTCACCATCAAGAAAGCTTAAATAAGGACTCACATTGCTTCTATTTGGTATACCCAAGATGTCCAAAACAGTCTCCATTTTTTTAAAAAATAGACTGAATTCTAAAAAACTCGTGAATGCTTGTACTTTCAGAAAGGGTGGAACGGATTTCAGGAAATCCATTCTGGGGAGCAAAGAGGCAGCCTCTGAATTATACTGTTCAAAAGCAGAACATGAATAATTTGCATTCTTAGAACTACACCCTCTATTTTGCTTCAATGCTAGCAACCAGGCGGTGGATGATAACAAATTTGGCCTAGGAGTCTGTGAATTATTGTGATTCCCACCAAACGGAAATAGGTATGTCAGTAGGGAATGAAATCAGGAATATAGTACTGTAGCTTAATTCAAATATTTTGACTCATACAAGGAAACCTCTACTGCCAAGATATTATTCTATGGTGTTTTCTGGAAGAAGCATAGACATGTTGTATACGGGTAGTCTTCAATTTACCACTACTCATTTAGTCATCATTCTAAGTTTCAATGGCACTGAAAAAAAAATAATATATGACCAATTTTCACATTTACAATCGTTGCATCGTCCTGGGGTCATGTGATCACCATTCGTAACCTTCCCAGCCATCTTCGGACTAGCAAAGTCAACGGGGTAAGTCAGAATCGTTTAATGACCACAACTGAAGTGATTCACTTAACTGTGGCAAAGAGATCAAATGAGGCAAAACTCATTTAACAATTGCCTTAACTAAGGAAATTTGGGGCTCGATTGTGGTCGTTAGTCGAGAACTACCTGTACTGTACAATTTAAACTCTGGCGCCTCCAACTCGGAATAGGAAAAGGCCCCCATCCCAAATCCCCTTGGAACAGCTGTCAGGCCACATGGCCTTTAGTAAGGCTGAGAGAGGCGGCTTCCTGGCGGGGCCTAGGAAGCCACCTTCCATTCACCGCTCGCGTCCCTCCCACCATGGCGCCCGAGAGCGGATTTCGCTAACTTAAAGCTCTCCTGCAAGCCCTCCGGTTCGCCTTTATTCCGCCCTGGCAGGAACACCCGTAACGCAGGAGAGCCTCCTCTCCCAAGTGCGGCCTCGCCTCCCCGCTCGGCTTCAGGAAAGGGAGGGGGTGCACCACGTGCGTTCTCTAACTCTGGGCAACCCCCCCCCGCAATCCCCAAAACGGAGAGCTCCCCCCCACGCTTTTCCCACCCACCCCCTCGGCGTTCCCCTCCCCCACTCGTTTTAAACGCACGCCGCGCACTCGGCCGCCAACGGTCCCGGGCGCGCGGCCTCTCCTCCTTCCTTCTCTTCCCCCCCCCCCACGAACCACTTCAGACTCGCGCCAAATTAGGCAGAGAGAGGGGGATGTTAAAGAGCAGGAGGCGGCCGGGCGCACGAGGGTCCCCCACCCTCCTCTTCAACGAGGCCTTCCAAGGCAGCCGATGGGCCGCGTTGAAAACCAGGGGAGTGAAGAACGGAACGGTGAAAGGGGAGCAGTATCGCCGCCGCCTCGTACTTCTTTTTTCTCCCTCTAGCTTGGACCCGGCCGACTTACTTGCTCCCACCACGCATGCTTACCCTGTTTGTTTTCATTTAGTTGTCGCTCGAACTCGTCGAAGTCCGACATAGCTGCGGAGAAGGGAGGAGGACGTCCCCTGGTCCGGCCTAGCTACGGTTGTAATGTGGTGGCGCCTGCTAGCCCAGGATCTCCTCACGCAGTAGGCCTCAACAGCGCCTTCTCTGGGAGTTCGGCAACTTCCGGTGACTGCTTCGGATGTGAACGGAAACTCTCGGCTATCTCCGGAACGCCTTTCGAGAAGAGGTTGGTTTCCCCCCCCCCTACTACTTTCCCCTCCCCCGAATCTTCACAGAAGCTCTCGGGAAAGTCTGCCTCTCTAGGAAAGTTTCGGATTCTTATGGAGAGACTCGGATACTCTTTTTAACGTCATTTCCTTCATCTTAAAACCTTTTGGGCGCCTGACACATGCCTTTGTATTCACGCTTAAAACAAAACCCCCAAAACAAAAAACCGTGGCTTCTTAAAAATAAAGGTTCTGATGTATTTCCGCCGGATGTTGCTTGAATGCTTCCTGTGCATTTTTTACAGAGTGCCTGTACGGTGGCTGGCCTTTCAATGTCAATATACAAAACAGGAAGAATGAGAGCAGTCTTTTTTTAATCCTAATTGTTTCCATTTGTGAAATATACTAAACTGAATAATTTCACATGCTGGACTTACATACCATGTTGTTGTTAACTGCGAAGTCGTGTCCGACCCCTCGCGACCCCATGGACAATGTTCCTCCAGGTCTTCTTGTCCTCTACCATCTTCTGGAGTCCATTTAAATTCACACCTACTGCTTCAGTGACTCCATCCAGCCATCTCATTCTCTGTCGTCCCCTTCTTCTATTGCCCTCAATCTTTCCCAGCATTAGGCTCTTCTCCAGTGAATCCTTCCTTCTCATTAGGTGGCCAAAGTACTTGAGTTTCAACTTCAGGATCTGGCCTTCTAAAGAGCAGTTGGGGTTGATCTCTTCTAGGACTGACCGGTTTGAACGCCTTGCAGTCCAAGGGACTCGCAGGAGTCTTCTCCAGCACCATAGTTCAAAGGCCTCAATTCTTTTGCGCTCAGCCTTACATACCATACTGTGGCGCTAAAAAAGATGATGCTTAGCATGTTGCATGGATGTAGCTATATTTTCAGGGCATATTATATGAACACATGCACCCTCATTTGACGTGTACTGAGTGTCACGCAAACCTAGAAAATTGGTTCATTTAATAAACCCTGAATAGCCTTGTTTAAACATATGAGCACAGATAAACATGGGAAGTTGTTAACATGTAGGCAATGCATACCTGGTAGATTTTTGTATTCAGGTTGCCAGTTGGCACTGAATTTTTACTAAAATACTTGTAGGGATGTAATTCATAAACACTATTCTTTCCAGGGCAACTCTTCTAATATAAAGAGCACTGCTATTTTCCCTTTTTCACAAGGATTATGCTAATTAATGCTATAGAAAGATAATTGCTAGTTTTTATATTTTTGAAAGGGAACACACATGTTCCTAAAGCTTGTGTAATCTGTGGTCTTTCCCTAACAACCTAGCATAATTTTGTCTAGAGGACCACCCTGTGGTACTTTATGGTGCATTTTCCTGCATATTTTCTTAAGGGGTTATACTTTCATCTTCCATGTTGAATTTTATCAGCATGAAAGTTTCTCCATTTCTTTATGAAAATTCAAAAGTGTTACCTATTTCCAGTGCTTTTTTTTTCTTAAAAAAAAAAAGTGCCAGAATTCACACACATCATACAACCCGCCTTGCCTACCCTACAAGGTTCCATCCAAAAGTGCCAGAACTCCGTTCTGGGCGTTCTATGACAAAAAAAGCCCTGCCTATTTTTTTTCCTAACGCACCACTTATTTGCAAATTGTCTCTTGAACTTACTGTGTTCTCATTTTAAACATATTTTCTGCCTTTTAAGAAACATTGAAGTGATGTAGGTTCTATATACTATTATACACTTATAAATCCTATCGTTAACTGGGAAACTAACTAGTGCTCCCATATTACCAAGAGGAAACCAACTGAACAAGTCCAAATGTAATCCAGGAACTCTTGGAAAATGAAGATGTTGGAAGCCAGCACCCATCCATCTTCTAGAAAAGGAAATACTTTGCAGAATATTAAGAAGGCAGAATATTTCCCGAAAGGAATAATGGAGGAAAAAAATTAAAAGCAGATTTGATAATCCCATTCAGAAAGATCGGATCACCTATTCATAAGCAAAATGCCTTTAGCCACAGCCCCAAAGAAGGTTTGAGCTGCTAGATTAGAAAAAGATTTCAAGGATGGGAACATGACCTTTAGCATAATAGGATTAACCCACCACCATTACAATACCAAAAGGGCACATTCAAACTCAGGTCAAAGTATAGTGGAACAGGAACAACCTCGAATACAAAGCCCAAAGAAGATATAAAAACCCACCCACTCCCAGCTCCATTTTATCAGCCACTCCAGAACCATGCTTTGTCACTGAAGTTTCTGGTAACTAAATAAACAAGAACCTTCTTTCCCAAGCAGCTGCTTGAACTGGACCTGAAGATTTTTCTTTCAACAAAAGAAATTGGATTTCTCCACTCTAGTAATCCACACATTTGTTTTCCCAGGCTGTATATTTGCCCCATTTTGCAATGTGTTACACAAATTTATGTAAAAAAATATACATAGTACAGAATGTTATACCAAAATGTTCTCTTTAATTTAAATTCTGTTTTAATAAAATGTTTAATATTTTCTTTTTAATTTCTTTTTTAACACAGAAAACCGATTGGAGAGAAAGAAATTACAGGCACAGTGGGAAGAGTTTGCTAATTACACTGAATAAAAAGGAAGCATCCTCAAGGAATGCAATATATAATTCAAGTCCTTGCATTCAAACACACTTCCTCACAAACATACTGAGAGAGGGGGAAAAAGTAAAATTGCCAGCAGAAAAATCCAGTTGAGGGCTTGGAGTGGGACAATAGCTAGGGAAAAGTTTTAGGCAATACCTTCCAAAACTATGAGGTGAAAGATGCAGTAGGGGCTCAGGATGTGAGACCATCTTTGGGAGACAATAGGAAAGCAGAGGCAGCTCAATTCTGCAATTCTTCCAATCATAGCAAGATTGTAGTGAAAATGGAATGGTAACCACAACATCAGCAAAAGAATTGATACAGTACCAGTAGCGTCTGCTAACAGCTCAGAAAACACGGAAAAGGTTTTCAAGCAAAGAGAGGTAAAACTACAGAAGTGCATCATGCAATTTTTATTTTCCCTCTTCCAGTTTAGAAAAGAATAAGTTCTGTTGGTTAGAGTGATTTGGCTCTCACTGAGGCAACTTCTCTCCCTCAGTCTACTGTTATTTAACCTACTGTTAGATGGTGGCCCTTAAGGAAAGACCAAATCACCCTAACCAACAAAAATTGGGAATATAACTGCTGCTGACAGGGACATTTTTGCAAACTTTTACCATCTTTTTATTATATCATTTGTTTTGACATACCCCAAATGACAGGAGTTTATTTTATAAAATGTGTGGATTTATATCTTATGTGCAAGGCTATAATTACCATCAATCAATAAACTAACATTGTTAGCTGTTTCAAGTTACCTGTGCAACAATTACAATCAATCTATCCATGATGTTATTTATTGTGGGGTGGGACACAATATTATGTCTGCCAACTGCTCCTTCGCCATTGTTTCTCCTCTGGCCAAACTCTCAAATGGAAGGAGGGAAAATGAAAGCAATCTGGTAGCTGTGGGGAAAGCTTTAAAGAGGGAAGCATGATAAACAGATCTATAGTCAAATAATAATCCTAGGAAACCACTCCTAGGCCTTTTGTGTAATGATAAGCTGGTGCTTCTTGTGAAACAGCAGCTTTATTCAGTAAACCTAGGAAAAGGTGGGAGGTTATTGTGCAATAAGGTAGAAAACTCAACACTCTTGAGAGTTTGCTGAATAATGGATGGGGGTTGGGGGGTGCAGGAAGTACAAAGAAAAAGGTCAAAGGGCTGGCAAAGTAGGTTCTGGCAGTAGCTCCAGGAGAGAATTCATCGTGTGTAACATTCAGCGATCGGCAGAAGTTGCTTGGGTGGCGCGACAGGAGAAGGGACAGAATTGCCAGCAGCTGAGCCAGGAGAGTCCATTTTCCTCTTAAAGCGGTAAGTGATGGGCAGTAGAAGCTTGCTTTTCTTGAGGGCCTGCACTTTCTTGAGCGTCTCATCATCTAGCGCCATGAAACATCGCCGGGAATATTCAAGCAGACGCTCCTTAGATGGGTCAAACTCACCCACTTCAGCCAATTTTTCGGGAGCAACAATAAGGAGCTCTGCTATAGGGGTGGTCAAGGCCACAGTGTTACGGTCTACCCGATGATGTTCAAAGGCCCGACTCATGCTTTGCAGCTTCTGAAAAGTGTACAGGATCTTCTTATACCGGCAGAGAACTCCATCCACATCCTTTACTGTACGGTGAATTTGGGTTCAGGTGGACAATACCATGGAGGATAGAGATAAACAGCAGTGTAATTGAACAGCAAAATGCAGAAAGAGAAGAACAGCACCTCATGAACACCAAGATGAAAGAAATGAAAAATTGCCATTAAGGCAAGAAAGCAAGAAGTTGAGATGGAGAAGTAGATAAGGACATGATGTGGGAGGGTTATAATATGCCATATAGGACAAGAAAGGCAAAAGGCAAAAAAAAAAATCGGATCAGGTTTAAAAAAATATACATTTAAAGTTGAGAACGTCAATAGATATGAAAAGATGAATACAGGGACAGAGAAGATAGGTTGCAAAAAGAAGGAAAGAAGTCAAGCAGGAGGCATATATCATAATTGTCAAGATCAGAAATAGGAAATAGGATGGTGAGAAGTTTAAGGATGGATCAAAAAAAAGAGGAAAGGGGAGGGGAGGGGAGGGAGAGGAAAGGAGAGCATATTATTTCTTTTTTACCAAAACTTGAGGCTTTAATGTGAGATTTGGATAAACTAAATCAAAATTCCCTGTTTCTATATATCTTAACAAGATATCCCTTACAAACATTTTAATGAAAGCTCTAACAATATCTTGCACGGCCCATATGGGTTAAGATTATGAAGGATGTAAAATGTCTCAGATGCTCGGTTGCCTATCCTTGCAATACTGTAGAGATCTTGTTTTTCAAACTCTAGATTCTCCTTCCTACTTCTTCCTTTCTTTCCTCAAAATAAAAAAAGACTTATACTGCAATATCATAAAATCTCTGTTATAATATTGTAAGGGTTCTGCTGGATCAAATCAAAATCGTCTATTTCAGGATTTTGTTCCCATAATAGCTAATGAGATGCTTCCAAAAAGCCAAAAATAGGAGAATGCTAAACCTCACATCTATACATACACACCGGTATTACCTAGCAACTGATGGTCAAGTGCTCTGTTGCATTTCTCCTGCATGTGTTTTCTTTTCCAGTGTCTCAATGCCTTTGTACTAGAAAAGCATCTTCCAATGTAAGCATTATCACTCAGAGATATTCAAGAGCAGTAAAAGATAGGGGACAGTAAGGGGACATTCAAGAACAATTCTATTTCATGTCAATGTTACAAATGTGTTCCTTTGTGGTTTTCAATCTTTCTTTGCAATTATAAATAGGGATGAATTCAATGTATAAATTTAAAAAAATGATTAAAACTGCCAATTGTTGCAGGGAAAAGAAGAGGAAGAGATATTAGGCATTTATATCCCAATAAAAGTGGGATATAAATAAATAAGTGGCAACATATCCTATATGCTTGTAATTATTGCCTTTGTTAAATATAAAGGAAAAGATTGGACTGAATATATGCTCATCTTTTATTTGCTGTTGGATGTTTGCAATAAAATAGTTTCTAATTCCATTTTTATTGTCTTTTCACTTAATTACATGGAGGTTTTAATGTTATGTTTATTGTGCAATGAGACATTAGTTTACCCAAGTGAAGAGTTTTATCAGGGATTCATGCTCTGGGCTAAATATTTTTAAAGGTGGAGAAAGATAAAAAGTTTTGCTGGAATGGGACACTGCTGGGGGAAAAAAAGAGTTTGGGAACCACTGTTTTAGTGAAAAATGCCAAATTTTAAGACTTTGGAAAAGAACATCAAATCTAAAATTTTAGAAAAATATCTACACCTGTTCATCCATAGACCATAACAAGAGATTTTTGTCTACTAGATCTATGGCTAAATGAAATCATGTTTGTTCTTAAATCTAGTAAGAAAAAAATGCTGGGAGAAACTTAAAACACTTAAATTTAAAGAACTTCACTTTATTGTAGCAAAGAGATGGCAGCAGAAATACTGAATAGTTAGTTCCATTTAGTGTCTTTGCTTTTAATTCAAACTGCAAATACGGTTACAATACATTTAAATCTAATTTCAAATTTGTTTATTTTTCTTCTTTCTTCTTGCTATCTCTTTTGTGCTAGATTTTTTTAGACTATGATGGCAATAACTATTTTATCTTCTACTGGCTTTATATAAACGTCTCTGGATGCTCTTTTGACCATTTATTTCTTACTTAAATAAATAAAGACAATAATGAATGAAGACACTTAAGAAATTAACTGTCTATTAGGAAAAAGATCCACTTTTGATGGAACTGAAAATGAAACTTGTTTTATTTAGTGAGAATGGTTAAACAGATTGGAGAGGGAGAATGCCAAGAGGACCCAGATTGTTGGGGGCAATGTAAATATATATATACATTGCTTACTGGTGTACACCGCTTAGAGCAGCGTTTCTCAATGTTTGTGTGACGGCGACCCCCCGTCACACGAACGTGCTGCGCATGCGCGACGCCGCCCCATGCATGGTGCGCATGTGCGGCACCGCCCCGAGGGGGGAAAATGGCGGATCGCATTGTTTGGCGACCCCCGTAAAATGGTCGATCGACCTCAAATGGGGTCGCGACCCATAGGTTGAGAACCGCTGGCTTAGAGAGTGCTCACACTTAAAGCGGTATATAAGTCTCATAAATAAATAAATAAAGAGGTTATCAGTGGAAAAAATAATCTATTTTGATTGTAATATATATATATTTAAAAAACCATAAAAAAAATCCACCCCAAGTGGACAAATGAAATAGTTGTCTTGCCCTTCTAGTTCCAAGTCATTTTTTGAGATCAAATTGGAAGTGGTACATACCTATCCAAATTATTATTTTGTTATACAGGTAATCCTTGAGTTACAACCACAATTGGGATTGTTAAGTGTGTCACACCTGATTTTATGACCTTTTGCCGGATTGCTAAGTGAATCAGTCTGGTTGTTAACTGAATCATACAGTTGTTAAGTGAATCCAACTTCCCCCATTGACTTCGCTTGTAAAGCTGGCTGGGAAGATTGCAAACGGTGGTCACATGACCCCAGGTCATTGCAATCGGTGCAAATACACGCCAGTTGCCAAGTGCCTGAATTTTGATCATGTGACAATGTGGATGCTACATGCTATGACATTTGTTAAGTATGAGAACCGATCATAAGTCATCACTTCAAACAGTCTCTAAATGAATGGTTGTAAATCAAAGATTATCTTTACAGTAGAACAATGTTAATGGTAATACTATAACTTGGTGTTGCTCAATCTTTGCATGCTGGCTGGGGGGTCCTGCGAGTTCACATACATGCATCTTAAAGTTGATAAGGTTGAGAGACGCTTCTGTAACCGTTGAGGCATGGCTCTCCAAACCTTTCAAACCTTAGTACTTACCTCTCTGCCTCTCCCGGACTTTAGGGTTGGCAAAGCATCGTCGGTTCAACCCTGCTTTAGGTTTCTTGTGTTCCACAGAACCTCCTTCTTCAGGGCTGGTGGTCATGCAGGAGCCCATATTGTCATCATCTGTCATCTCCCTATTTCGGGTCTCCAATACTTCAAATCTCCGGGGCAGTTGTTTGTTACAACAGTGATCATCTAGGTTGGAAAAGAAAAAGGCTAAGCGAATCACATTTGGCAAGGGAGATGGGAAACTCAAGAGCACTCACCTGGGTTACCAATTTCCTCCAAATTACAGCATTACCACATACTTTTATTTTAATAAGGATAATCAGCCTATGGTTCTTCATGGGCCACTAAATTCAACATCTATCAACCCCAATCAGAATGGCTCCTGATTGGACTACAATGCACACCATCCCCATTATGTTTCTCAACTTTGGAAGCTTGAAGATAAGTGGACTTCAACACCTAGAATTCCCCAGCCTGTCTCAAAATTCTGAATGGGCCCTCAAGCCAAAAGTGTCTTCTGCCATGATCAATCCCTATCCTAAATTGTTCCCTCCTTTCTCTTAAGAACCAAGTGTCCTGGCATCCATTCTCCTCCCCCCCCCACCTTTATTTCTAGATTATTCTTCTTTCCAGTAAGGTGCTTTCCACTAATCCAGCAAAACAACTCCATTAGCCTCCAGAACGTTTACCAGCATCCAAGTGGGCTGAAGAGATGAATTTGTCTAGCTGGCAGCGCAAGAAATCTCGTTCTTCTTCCAGGTCCTCGATTCGCTTCTGCAGCCAAGAGTTCCTTTCCAATGCCATATGTAACTGGGTCTTCATATTGGTCACCAGGGTCAATGATGGAGCTGGTATCTCTGGGACCTCTAAGACACAACAAGAGGCACAACACGGGGCTCCATTCACACACCATGCTGAACTGGGTTTGTGCAAAGCTCTAGTTTAGGTTGAAACAGTTTGGCAGTTCCTAGTTCAGCGTATGGTGGGGATATCCAATCATTCTCTTAGAATGCATTGTGAATCAGGTCACCAGGTTTAGCCATGATGTGGCTGATTTGTTTGGGTATAGTATGGGAGTGCTTAAAGTTTGTGAATCCTGTTGAATGTTCAATATTTCTGTGACCTAGAATGTGATCTGTTCTCCACACTAGTCCTAAAACTAGATAAAGAGACCCCAATTAAACAAATGAATCAAAAACACAATACTTGTTCATCTATTTATTGAAGAAAATGATTCAAAGCTACTTGTTTACGTTATACTGAAATAACAGAATTAACATAGTCAGTCTGCAGAGGTCCCCTGACCATTCCTGGTAGAAACGTCTGTGTAAAATGTTAGACAAGGACAGTGTTTGCCTGATGCAATAAATCACAAAATAGCCAACCACATTGAAGCTTAGTCTGTTGTGCAAATTTCTACCTAGAAAACATGCTCTGCTAGGAAGCTACTGTCTCTCACAGTTGTAAGGATTGTATAGAACAGGGGTAGGCAACCTTGGTTCTTTTATGACTCGTGGACTTCAACTCCCAGAATTCCTGAGCCAGCATGGCTGAGCTTGGAAACCTCTCCCTTTCCCCTCAGCATGGCTGGCTCAGGAATTCTGGGAGTTGAAGTCCACGAATCATAAAAGAGCCAAGGTTGCCTACCCCTGATATACAACATCTCCCACATTTATAGAAATCTATTAGGACTATTACTAGTCCTTGATTAACAACCAACATATCTAGTCTTAGATTAACAACTGTCACTAAGCAATGTGGTCATTAAACAAAGCATCACATGACTGACAGATTTAAATTTTCACTTCTGCTGTGGATATTAAACAAGACACCGGAGGTTGTTAAGTAAGATATCATGTGACCACAACTTCTGATTTTGCTACTGGTTTTTCCATTGACTCTGCTTGTTGGAAGCTGGCTATGAAATATGCAAATGGCAATCACATGACTGCAGGATGCTGAAATGGTCATAAATGGCTGGCAGCTACAAAGTGCCCGAATCTCAGCCACATGACTTGAAGCATTGCAACAGTCATAAGTGCGAGGGCCAGTCCCAAAATTATTTTTCCAGCATTGTCATAACTCTGGATGGTCACTAAATAGAGCAGTTGTTAAATGAGGACTATCTGTACTTGGGTTCAGTCTCAGAAAAGGACACCACTTCTTATTGCGTTCTAAATAAGTGCTATCTTGGTGTGCTCTCATCTGCCTCACAGCACTTTCTGGAGACAGAATCCTCAGGGCTACACAGCCGTGGTCCCAAGATACCCCAGTTTCCTTTTCTACTGCAGTTTCCATGATGGTGACTTTTTTTGATGGTTTTTCTTAGCACTTTTCCAGAGTTACCATAATCAGGGAAGAAACAGAAGAGCCCATTCCAATTCCCCGTGGCTGAAATGGATTGCCTTGAGGTCCTCTGCCTACATGGTCCAGGACAGAGTTAAAGGATGTTTATTTGCTGACAAGGGGAAGGTGACATTGTTTCTCACCATCAAAATTTTCTGGGATGCTCAGACCATAGTATAACCGTTGCCGAGTTTGCGTCTGGGACTCTGTTTGGCATGGCTCATCCAAAGGTAAGGCTAGTTCATAAGTTTCATTATTCTCTTTCACTGTAAACATAAATATGGGGGGGAGGAGAAGAAATGTAATAAACTTGGAATACACAAAGTTAAACATCATACTAAACCATGGTTTGTTCAATTTCAGTTTACTCCAATGGTTCTCGACCTTTCCTTCACAACAGACCCTCTTTAAATACCTTTTGTGGCCATGGACCACCAAGACATAACTCAACCTTATGTGACAACATTACACCTCCCCAGAGGTCCGCAGACCACAGACTGAGAATCACTGGTCTACTCAATAAATCACATGGGACTTGGTTTACATAATATGTTAGGGAATAGTATACAAATCTCAGTAACAGGTTCACATAACCCCCAAGCCAAGCAAACAATATTATGGCTTATCAAAGTGGATGAACTACTAGAAGAAGTAGAACACAATTTTGTTTGAACACATCAATAATTCATGAAGTCCTAAGCTGAGGCAAACAAAAATATTCTTGGTTAAAGACTTTCACTAACACTAATAAAAGAGACAATTCCATTGGCAAGAAAATAAACACAACTATGTAATAACAATTCATGTTTATGGGAAATATAGAGTATAATATGAGGAAACTGTATGGAAGTGGTGGTACTTTATCACTTTCTCTATATCACATTTTTAGCTCTACAGTATGACAGTGATCTGACATTTTAGCACAAAAGTAAAGCATTGTCATTATATAGCTGCTATTTCTAAAATCCTTAAATTTAGAGTTTCCCCTGATCAGAAATCTATTCCCCTACAGATGCTCATTTCTTAACAAAAACTTTGGGCTGGGTTCCTTCATTATGCTAAGTCAATAAAGACTCGTTTCCAAGCCAGAGGGGCTGATTCCTACATGTAGCTTGTAAATGATAGTTTCTGAGTTGAGGATGGGAACCCAGCCATCTGTAATTTGCCCTAATGATTATTAAATAAATCATGGCTCATCATGATGAAGAAGACAATATTATTAGGAGCTCCATGGGTATCTCTATACACAGAAGCCAGAAATAGACTTATCTGGATTTGATTTAATGCAGCATATGAACCGACTCAATAGGTTGGATTCAAATTTTCATCTTGATTTCAGTAAAATGCAAAGCTAGCTAACATGCGTTTCCCTGAAACATTACTCCATGATTATCAGGACTTTGCCTCAAGCCTGGGACAATCGACCTCATTCCCAGCCAATATACACACCTTGCTTTGTTCCAGCTCCACGGCGACCCCTACCTACATCTGCTCCCTGGTGGTGGTTACTTTCATTCATTGTCCTCCCTCCCCGAGTGAGATGAGTATTTCCAACCTAGAGGACAGGATGGAAGTTATAACTAGGGCTATGGATCACACATACCTCCTTTCTCCATTCTCAGAAAACTCTGGTCTAGATTTTCCTCCCAAGTCAACTCCAAGTTAAGGAGTCTGAAGGTCTCCCTTCAACAAAATTCCTCAGCCACTAAGGAGCCTCTTTCAGGAAATCCTAAATGGCTACCTTTCACAATTGTTGGTCTAACATCTTTTAAGATCAGAACGGCATATACAGGAGGGGAAAATACATACGGTAGATAGAAATAGCAGCAGAAAGTAGAACTTTCGTAGAAATAGCACAGAAATAGCAGCAACTGAAACCAAGAGGCCTATGCTTCCTCCTGAACAGAGAAACTATTGAAATTCCCTAACAGGATGCACATTCCCCGATTCCTGCAACTAGTGGAGTTACTAAAATTCGGACTGGAAAATTTGTGGTTTTCTATTTGTTCTTACAGTCCCCATCTATCCTAACCGATTCGCATGCTGCTAAGGCCAACATCCTCTAAAGAGATTGAGTTTTCTGGGTGACTTTTGGCCAATCACCAGGAGACAGTGTGTTCTAGTCCCACCTTAGCCATGAAAGCCAGCTGAGTGACTTTGGGCCAGTCACTCTCTTCTCAGCCGAAACCACCTCATAGGGTGGTTGTTATGGGGAAAATAAGAGCAAAAAGGTGTGCTGGATATGTTTACCACTTTGAATTATTTATAACTATAACAAAAGTGGGATACAAATAAATAAATAAAAATAAAATTTGATAAATAATACATAAATAAACCAGGCCTCTCCTCTCCCTCCCAAAAAACCCTCTACAATATTTCTGCTTTGTTTTTTATACCATTCCTTCATTCATCTCAAAGCAGCGAGCACTGTTCACACATAAAATTTCCATTTTAATTTTTCCACCACTGTGTGGGATAGTTTAGACCAGGGGTAGGCAACCTTGGCTCTTTTATGACTCGTGGACTTCAACTCCCAGAATTCCTGAGCCAACCATGCTGAGGGGAAAGGGAGAGGTTTCCATGCTGAGCCATGCTGGCTCAGGAATTCTGGGAGTTGAAGTCCACAAGTCATAAAAGAGCCAAAGTTGCCTACCCCTGGTTTAGACAGTGACCGCCTTTGCACATCATGTTCTCATGGTGTGCTTCATTCTGCTTTGAAAATGAAAGAGGAATCCAACTACTAACTGGCTCAAATTATTCAACTTGGGAGTTTTATGCTGAGTGGATATCTCTTTTGGAACTTCCTCATTGTCGATACACAGCTACTTATTGGCTCGCTACACAAATAGAGTGTAATGAAATCTCTACCTGAGCCAGGGTAATAGTTGGGGATCCAATATTCTTCACACAGCTCCTTGCTTCCTGGGAACAACTTCAAACACCTGATTGAAAGCAAAAGAGAAATTTAAAAAGTTTGGCGAAGAATTCCAGAAACTGGTACAGTCTATGACAGGTGGATGACAGCATCTTTCAAAGTAACTATATAGAAGATTTTTTTAGTACAGGAATTTACTTGCACCCAAAAGTAGTATTTAAAAGATGGTGGTATCTGAATCAATTCCCTATTCTATGAATTATGACACTTTTTCTATAATGGCTTATTCACATATGGAATTTGTTTCTTGATTTTAAAGCCTTAAGTGATGAAAATATATGAATATTTTGAAAGCAAAACACCATCAAAGATCAGTTCAATGCTCTGTGAGGAGGGTTGGGCTGACTGGCCTAAAGTCATCCAGCTGGCTGTCATGGTTAAGGTGGCACTTGAACTCGTGGTCTCTCCTGGCCTAAGAACAAAAAGTCTGCAGAAAAGCAACTAAATTCAGAGAACTCCAAAATCCCCAAAGAAATATCCATACTATTTCTTTGGTAACAATGTAGAAATAGATTACTGACCAGGTTTTTTTTTTTTTTTAAAGCAATGCCTAGAGGTTGGCATAAAGTTTTACTTACTTGCCCTGAGGACAGAACAATGTAATGCCATACAACTCCTACCCGTTTTGTTATGTTTATATAATCCTCTTAGTCTCAATCATACAGGCCAATTTTGCATCGCTCACAGTAAACCTGTGTATGTTGCTTAACATTCTTCAAGACTGAAGTCCCTGGAGATTAAATTTCACCAAGAGAGAAACTATTTCCTTTGCTTTTTAAAAAAAATGCCTTGCTTAACAGGGTTGAGCATCAATTTTTATTTAGCCCTTTAATCCAAGCCAATTAATAACTGATCAACTGTCTTTCTTCTCACCAAATAACTCGTCACTCAGCCGTATCTTACAACCACACCTATCCTCTTCTTTGCCAAAAATAAAGGGAACCCTATAAACTAAACATTTCCAGTTTGATGTACTCCAGATGGGTTGTATTCAGCTACCATAATTATGGGAGGGCCTCTGGAGAACAGCAAGTTTGAAAAGGTTGATCTAAACCAGGAGTCTTCAAACTTGGCAATTTTAAGACCTGTGGACCAACTCCCAGAATTCCTCAGCCAACCGACGTGTCCAACCTTGGCAGCTTTAAAACTTGTGGACTAACTCCCAGCCAGCATGGGGAATTGATCCCCTATCTAAACAATGGTTCATCTGTTGAATCTCTACTCTTTCTAATAGGGGGGGGCGGGAACTGTGTCTATTGCAGAGATCTGGAATTGGCTCCCGGACAAGGTTTTTCATGCAGAGAAACTCAAGGAGGGTGAAGTTGAATTTATTTTTAATTATTGCAATGCAGAGGTACCTTTTCTGATTCCATTCTAGGAACCAGAAACATCTCTAGGAAGCCCACACCTATCAGCACTTATCACCCCAATACAGTATGTATTTATGAATTACAGTTATTTATATCCGATCTTTCTAGATACAAATTCTTCTCAGGTGACAGAAAAGTAAAACATTTTAGAATCTCCTCTCGAAGGACCAATATCAACATTCAACAAGGTATCTCAATTATTCCAACAAAACAGCTGATGTCAGATGGACCCAGAGAGGTCAGAATCATTGAAACAGGTACAGGTAATCCCTGACTTAATTTGGTCCAAAATTTCTGTTGCTAAGCAAGGCAGTTGTTAAGCGAGTTGTGCCTTATTTTACAATGTTTTTTGCCACAATTGTGAGGCAAATCACTGCAGTTGTTAGGTGAATCACACAATTGTTAAGCAAATCTGGCTTCTCCCATTGATTTTGCTTACCAGAAGCCAACTGTGAAGGTCAAAATGGTGATTACATGACCCCAGGATGGTGTAATTGTTATAAATACATGCCAGTTGCCAAGCCCCTGAATTTTGCTCATGTTATCTCAGGAATGTTGTGATGGTTCTAAGTGTGGGAAGCAGACATAAGGCCCCTTTGTCCTGTGCCATTGTAACTTTGAGCAGTAACTAAAAGAATAGTTGCAAAGTCAAGGACCACCTATAATTCTATTTGAGTTCTTCTCAGAAAGTTGTGCTGGTGACAGATGCCTTGTGATGGAATGTAAGAATCCAACTGAGGCAGAACCTTAAGGTCTCTTTCGCCACCTTCTTTCCCTCTTTGCACAGAAAAATCAAACTTTATCATTACTTATTTCCCCACCATTGACAGAGTACCCATACTGTCCTAAACTATGCCATTATTGTTGGGCTCTTGAACAAACCACAAACAACAGATGTATTGCATATCTTGCAATAAATCAAACCCAGACAGATCATATTACAGTTCAGCACAACGTCAACCAACCAACCAACCAACGTGAACCAACCAATGGATCCTATCAACAAACTTAAGTATTACTCTGTATATAGCAGGATTAGGAGGTGAAATCCTAAATAACTATTAACCCAAAATCCTAATATTCTGGCAGCTCTAATTTTTTTTTTTTTTTTTTGCATGATGGTTCTGCCATGTCCTAATCCAGTGATGGTGAACCTTTTAGAGACCGAGTGCCCAAAACCCGCCCAGCCCCCCTGCCCCGCCTCATCTTCCCCATCCCACCGTGCCCCCACCCCCTTGCCTACCCCCACTCCGGTCCCACCCCGCCCACCTGCAGGGCCACCCACCGCCTCCATGGCCCACTGCAGATCGCCCAGGTAGCCCAGCGGCCCCATGGCGGTCACACCCTCCGCCTGTGCCCCGCAGCATCATTTGCATGTGATGGGGAGTGAGGTTAGAGTCTTGTCCCTGCTGTCCAGCTGCCATGTCCTTGGCTGCGCTGCGTCGCGCAGGCCACACCCGAGGGTGGCTCTCCTCCAGGGTGGCTGCTGGTGAAGAGGAGGCTGTGGGGGGAGGTGGGGCTGGAGCGATGGCATGTGTGCCCACAAAGAGAGCTCTGAGTGCCGCCTCTGGCACGCGTGCCATAGCTTCGCCACTACTGTCCTAATCCAACCATCAGATTCTGTAACTGATAGCGGGCTTACAATTATACAAGTAGTCTTCATTTAGCAACCACAATAGGACTGGCAACATGGTTGTGCTTACTAAGTGAAATTGCGACTGTGCTTATGATCTTACTTCAACTTTCCTGTCCTTTGTTTCACAGAAGGATTGGTCATTAAATCAATTTTTCATCACCATTGTAACTGTGAACAGTAGCTAGATGAATCAGTCACTAAACAAGGACTACTTATACTTCCATTCTTATATCTCCTTCCTGTCCTTCTCTCGCCCCACCTAATCTAAAACTGGTTTGGATTTATTTTAGTCAGTCTCTGCACTATATTTCAGCCTTCTCCAGTCTGATGCCTTTAAGCTGTGCTGGATATGTGCCTATTATGTCTAATCAGGGAATTGTACTTCAGAGCTAGAGGGCACCAGGTTGGGGAAGGCTGCTGCAGACTCCAGATTTCCCATGATTTAAATCATCTGTAAATTAAATGTGACCCTTTCCCACATTCCCTTTAATAACTTGTAACATATTTGGTTAGCTATAGTTGGTAATTAATAATGGGCTATTTTATTGGTGAGGCTTGTAAAATGGAGTTATAAATATATAAGATTGAACATAAAGGAAAGCATATTACTATATGCAAACCTTTATAGTACCATAACATCTCAAAAATGTATTTCTGCATGAACCTGCTATTCCCAATCTATTAGCAATCAACCATTTGCTTGGGATTCATTTCCTCTGATTACAATACTCAAAGCAGAAAAAAGGAACCCAGGTCTTAGTTAACAGAAGTGGGACTTTCTTTAAAATTTGGTTCTTGATTTGTTATCAACTTTCCACAAGTGAATGGCTATAATCACACTTTTGCTTGGTCCCAGTTGATAGGTTTTCACTTAGTAATATGCAGTTATTTGCTATGCACTGTGTTGGCAATGTCTTCACAATTTAAATCACCATTCACCAATGATACAGACTTAGTTGCAGTTTCAAATAGTCCTTGATTACAACCATTTATTTAGGGACCATTTGAAATTATAACAGCACTGAAAAAAGTGGCATGTAATCAGTCCTCACACTTACAACTGTCATAGCACTCTCACAGTCACATGATCACAATTCAGGCACGTGGCAACCAGTATGCATTTATGATGGTTGCCATGTCCTGGGGTTATTGATCACTACTTGCAATCTTTCCAGCTGGCTTCTGATAAGCAAAGCCAATGAGGGCAGCCAAATTTGCTTACCAACTGCATGATTCACTTAACAACAGGCGTGATCTGCTTAACTGTGGCAAAAAATAAGGTTGTAGAATTGGGTGTGAGTCACTTAACCACCACCTTGCTTAGCAATGGAAATTATGGTCCCAAATGTGGTCTTGAGTTAGCTTAGTAACTTTCCAATTAATCAAAATACATCACTCGTCGTTTTTCTATAAGCATTGTAATATCGCTTTATATACATGAAAAGTAATAGAAAGAAAAACTCTGAATAAACCAAATTAGGGGGTTTTATCTTAACTGACTCCCCTTTCCCAAGCTACCTCTTCCCCACTGCACAAACATGGACGTCAATCTAAAAGTCAAAAGCCAGCTATGTCAGGAGGGGAGGCAGTTTTACAGGTGCTAGTGAAACAGACTGGAGTCAGAAAGTTATTTTTCAGCAGCATCTGAGACCTACCAAGGGGACTTGAAGCACACCTGTGAGGAGTCTCTAAGGTGCACTCAAATGTTTAGTCCAGCCATTTCTTCAAGCAGAGAGGGGGAGGACTTCGATAATTCATGCCCCAGGCTTCAACCCACCCTTCCCTACAGCCCCCTCCTCCCACTCTGCATCCCCCGATACCAGCAAACTGCAGGTACGGCACAACGATGCCACTCAAATACCCTGGGCGGGCGAATCCATAGCAACCCTTCTCTTCCCCCTCTCCATTAAATCAGGCCTTTGGCAAAGAAAATCCAGAGTCCATTACCACTAGTCCAAAATGGCCTCGGCTGTTGTCCTGCTATGAAGAAACCCTCCCTTC